GGATACTGTATGGCAACGTAAGAGAATTCGGTGACGCAGGGGGGAGCCTTGGGAAGCGTTGTCTTTTCTTTTTAACCGTCTCTTACCCTGAAATCAGATTGCCTGGAGATAGGGTTAATTGGCGGGTAAAGCACCTTGTCTTCCGAGGTGTCCGGTGCGCTCTCAACTGTCCTTGAAAAACCGAAGGAAAGGCTTATTCTCACCCCTGGTCGTACCCATAACCGCATCAGGTCTCCAAGGTTAGCAGCCTCTGGTCGATAGAAGCAAGTAATTTTTTGCAGTTGCGGTGCACCAACTGTTTATATATAAAGAAAAGGAAATTCTCCCTCCATCAACTGGGCGGCGGCGCCGCCTTGTTGCAGTTGATGGAGTTTTCACGCGTCGACTGGATTGACCCGGAAAGAAAAGCAAATGTGTTCAGAGCAGCCGCGCGGTCAATACGCACGGTTTTTTGTGAGTTTCGACTGACTAATTTGTCTGCTTCCATGCCCATCAACTGTCGAGGGCGCCGACAAAAGGCATGATCCAATAGTTCGGCGAGGACCAGTTGGTTAATCTGATGCCAGTCCATCAACTGGCGTGCCTGCGAGTTGATGTGCTCTGTGTCCATCAACTGGGTGCCAGTTGGTTAATCTGATGCCAGTCCATCAACTGGCGTGCCTGCGAGTTGATGTGCTCTGTGTCCATCAACTGGGTGCTGCGTCTCCTCGCTCGAAGCCTGACCTTACCTCGGCCCAGCCAACGATGAGCGCCCATCAACTGTCGAGGGCGCCGGACCAGTTGGTTAATCCCATGCCAGTCCATCAACTGGCGTGCCTGCGAGTTGATTTGCTCTGTGTCCATCAACTGGCTGCTGCGTCTCCTCGCTCGAAGCCTGGCCTTACCTCGGCTCAGCCAACGATGAGCGCCCATCAACTGTCGAGGGCGCCGAGAAAAGGCATGATCCAATAGTTCGGCGAGGACCAGTTGGTTAATCCCATGCCAGTATTAGCTAATTAATTAGCTAATTAATTCGCTAATTAATTAGCTAAAATTGATTAATTGATTAATTAGCTAATTAATGAGCTAATTAATGAGCTAATTAATTAGTCTGGTCTGGTCTGGCATGCTGCAGTCCAGCGCTCGTGTCTTCGAATTTGCCGCAGACGCAATGGGGGGAACGACCGAAAGCAATTCGGATCAAGCAAGGGTGGTTAAGCAGAGTTCTCGGGGCATCAGCAATGGCTGGCAAGTGCGGACGCAAGCAGCTTATGCGCTTGCAGCTGTACAATGCCCTGCGGGCGCCCATCGATGTGACGGGTTCTGACAAAGCAAACGCTCACGTAACGAGTTTGTGCGCACGTGCTTTGGGGCCCTTTGGCGGAATGGGGCACAGTAACAAAAGACTGGGAAAAGAGTTCCTGGGCGCGTGTGCATGAACTCCCAAACGGAAATATGTGATAATTCGGATTCCTTCCGAGGCGACCCGCGTCCAGCTGAAGGTCACCAAGCAGAAGAAGACCTCGGTGATCAAGGACGGGCGGATCATGGAACAGGGAGTCCGTGGGCCCCACGTCCATAAACTGACCAAGGCGGGCGCTGAAAATGCCGTTCGCAGAGCGGGTGTTGACAGTCAGTTCATGGACGTGGGGTCCATGAACTCTCCTTCCATCTCCCTCCATACCAAGGGCGGGGCCTTGGAGCAGAAGCGCATCGAGACCTCTGCGCCGGAGCAGAAGAAGACTTCGGTGATCAAGGACGGGCGGATCATGGAACAGGGAGTCCGTGAGCCCCACGTCCATAAACTGACCAAGGCGGGCGCTGACAATGCCGCTCGCAGAGCGGGTGTGGACAGTCAGTTCATGAACGTGGGGTCCATGAACTTTCGTTTCATCTCCCTCCATACCAAGGGCGGCGCCTTGGAGCAGAAGCGCATCGAGACATCTGTGCCGGAGCTCACCAAGTTGAAGAAGCATAAGAAGACCTCGGTGATCAAGGACGGGCGGATCATGGAACAGGGAGTCCGCGAGCCCCACGTTCATAAACTGACCAAGACGGGCGCTGAGAATGCCGTTCGCAGAGCGGGTGTTGACAGTCAGTTCATGGACGTGGGGTTCATGAACTCTCGTGCCATCTCCCTCCCTACCAAGGGCGGGGCCTTGGAGCAGAAGCGCATCGAGACCTCTGTGCCGGTCTTCAAAGTATATGGGGACGGCAACTGCGCGGCGCGCGCAATCTACCAGTGGCAGAAGGACCCGCACCGCAAGATGCGCTACGTGAAGTCCACAGGGCTCCCGTGGACGAAGGAGGAGAAGGTACAGGGATGTTCCAACCGCCCACCACGGTTCGTCAGCACCAGTCCATGAACTGGTGATCGATTGGGAAATCCTTGGAAGGCTCATGAGGCGCATGGTGCCGCCATAATCCGCGAGAACTGCCAGCTGGAGCTGCAGCAGACGGGGTTCGACGAGGCTGGGTTGCAGATTCGCGGGGCTGTGGAGAATGGGGAAGACTGGGAGGCGTACGTGGAACGCATGGGGAAGGACGGCGAATACTTCGACGCCCCCATGCTGATGAAGCTGGCAGAGTTCTACGAACATCCAGTGGTCGTCTTCTGCGCCAACTGGAACACTGGTACGGTGTGCACCCAGACGTACGGAGCGGAGACGCATGGGGACGAGCCGGCGATACCACTGTGGTACAACGGCGTGAACCATTACGACCTCGTGGACGAAACCTGGGCAAAGGACCAGGGGCTCCCGCTGCAGTGGAGGAACAAGCGCGGGAGCCTGGAGGGGAAGAACCAGGTCATCATGCACGTGGCGGCACACGTGGAGGTGAAGAAGACGGACTGAGGGCGCAAAGAAACACAGTTCGTCAGGCAAAAGCCCATCAGCTGACTTCGGAAAGGGGGGGCGGGCAAGACAGCCAGACGTCGTGCGCAAGTCAGTTGATGGGCTTTGCATGGCGAACTTTGTTTCGTTGTGCCCTGGTCAGGGTCGCAGCCAGGACAAGAGGGAGAAAACCGAGGGAAAGTCGCCGGCCTTGGCGGGCAAGCGGACCCTGGAGGCAGACGGGGACTCCGCCGTCATCAACGACCCGCTGGTGCCGCCCTCGTTAAAGTACCCGACCAGCAGGAAGGCGCCCGACAGGACCAAGCGCAGCAAGTCCACCCACTTGGACACGGAGAAAGCTTGGTACATGGCGGGCGCCTGGCACAGCGAGCTTGGACAGCTGCGCTCTATCAAGCTCGGCGAGAGCACTGCTAACGAGGGGAGGGTGTTGCAAAGGCAGTGCATCGGATAGTGTCCATGAACTCCTCTGCGGGACAGGGGGCTGAGCCACCCAAGAGTGGACGCAAGGATTCCAAGCTCGGGAGTTCATGGGCTCCACTCGATAGAATTGCCTTTACGATAGCCGACACAGGAGTACTTCAACCGCTTCATGCAACTCGTGCAGTGGACGGACGAGAAGCACGGGGACCAGAGGAAAACAGTGAAGGAGTACTTGGAGATCACAAATTTGGAGGAGTACTTCGATCATCTGGGGAAGACTCCCTTGTCCAACAAGGCAGGCCAGGTCAGCGCGGTGTCTAAGGCGTGGCTTGACACCGTGAAGCAGTCCTTGAACTCCCTGGTGGCCTGCTTCGCGGTCCCAGGCATGGAGGAACAGGCGAAGCTGGTGTACAAGAAGAGGTTCGACACTGCCAGGTCGAAGGCGGGCCAGACGGCGCAGGACCTCGCGGTACCGAAGCACAAGGGCGACATCTACGTACCTGATGCCTCGAGGCCAGAGGGCGGGTACTGGGTGAAAAAGCCGCAGGCGACGCTGGAGACAATGCTCGCGCATGTGAGCTTGCACGAGGAGAAGGTTCAGCGGCTCGAGTACGACCTCGCCAAGCTTACGCACGGCAACAAGAAGGTGGAGAAGGACAAGGTAGAGGCCGTGAAGCTCGCGCTTGCGAAGCGCAAGCAGCAGCTGCTCGCGGGCTACCTCCTGCTGTGGACGTGCGAGAGGACCAGCGACCTGAGAAAGCTGGTCGTCAACTGGGACACTGCCGCCTACAAGGTACAGTCAAGCAGAAAACTGGTTCATTCGGGCCTGGCCCATGAACTCTCGGAAGGCGATTGTGTGTGAAGGGAAAATGGGTTCCATATGGAACATGAGTTTATGGGCTTGCCCTAATGAACTGGGTTCCCGCTTGCCTCCGAAGATGCCTGCGGGGAACTACGTGATCCTCATGGACTCTCAGTCTAACAAGACCAAGTGGACCCAGGATACTGCCATCGGGAACAAGGGCGACGTTGGCAAGCTGTTCTGCCAGCGGCTTCAGGACTGCCTCCGTTTTCCCTCTCCATCCTTCTCCTCCTCTCCCCTCCCTTCTCACCAGGACCTCTACGAGGATTACCTGAAGCGCCACCGCCCAGTGCTCATGGCAAGCCTGGGCACGGACGCGCGCTTCGACAGGACGTTCACGGACGAGAAGGACGGTCCAGGCGGGGAGTTTGCATTGCAACACTGCGTGGAGTCGCGCCCATGAACTGACTTGAGAGCAGGCTGGCTTCCGCACGCGAGGAACTGAACGTGCGAATGCGGATGTCGGCGCTCGCGGGCACAAGGAACTGAACGCATGCACGCGGGTGACCGATGATAAAGGCAGCCTGTTTTCAATTCGGTTGTTGGGCGTGACTGCACACACCGTTGGAATGTAGACTCCTAACAAGGCGCGGGTGTCTGCTTCACCTTGTTCCCTGGGTACTGGACCAAGAAGAACGCTTTCATGACCGAGGTGCTCAACGTGCCCTTCGGGAGTACGGGGGAGCGGGCCGTGCGAAACATCCTCTCGAAGGAGTTCTCGGCGAGGGCGAAGCAGTTCAAGGTCGAGGAGCAGGCCGTCCACCAGCAGCTGCACCACTCCAAGGAGGTGCACGACAAGGTCGGGTGTCTGCCATAGGGGAGTTTGTGGGCATAGCCGCATGGACTTTGGGATCGGGGACGCACCCCGTGCACTCGAGGAACTGAACGTGGAAGTGCGCGCGGGTGTGTGCCTCGAATCCAGCCCATGAGAAATGTCCACGAACTGCCGCGTGGCAAACACCTTTGAAGGTGTACTTGAGCGGCTTGCGGAATTCCTGCAATGGCATGCAGATGAGCGTCTTCCGCTGGTAGAGGTCGGGCGTCTGGGCTTTACCAGTGCATGGGGATTTGCCCATCGACTTGGGTTTGGAACAGACGTTGGCTGGTCCGTTCCAACTCTTGTCGTTCGGCAGATGTCTGCGCACTGGCACAGCGCAAACGCCTTCAGAGGTGAGCGGGGCGCGCGGGGACCTACCCCGCGGAATGGTATAACTCCCTGGTGCCGTTTCGCTGTGCGCCAGAGGTGGGAAAAAAAAAAAAGGGGGGGAAAAAAAAAAAAGGGGAAAAAAAAAAAAAAAAAAAAAAAGGGGGGGGGGGGGGGGGGGGGGGGGGGGGGGGGAGGGGGGGGGGGGGGGGGGGGGGGGGGGGGGGGGGGGGGGGGGGGGGGGGGGGGGGGAAAAGGGTGGGGGGGGTGGGGGGGGGGGTGGAAAAGGGGGGGGGGGGGGGGGGGGGGGGGGGGGGGGGGGGGGGGGGTGGGGGGGGGGGGGGGGAAGGGGGGGGGGGGGTGGGGGGAAAACTTGCCCGTGTGGTGGTCGTCGTCGCGTCGTCGTCCGTCGCCGTCGTCCGTCTCCGTCGTCCTTCGTCCGTCGTCGTCGTCGTCGTCGTCGTCGTCGTCGTCGTCGTCGTCGTGGTTTTGAAGTTTGTGTTTGAGGGGGGGGTCCGTGGTAACCCAGGCTTGTTAGGGGCGTCCTTGTTTTGGGGGCCTGTGGTTCTCCAAGGTTTGGGCGAAAAGTTCCTGGCGACAATGAGTGGGGGTGGCGCCCCCATGAAACCCTCCTGTAAAGCCAGACGGCTCTACGGGATAATACCCAATGGAGGTTGCCATTGGGGGGGGCCAGGAAGCCACGAGGGAGGGTTCCGGACACAGGAGGCGCGAGGCTAGGCTACGCACTAGCCTGGCAAGCTCAGGACTCCACAGCAGGGACCAGGCCCAGACCCGAGGAGGAGGAGAAGGAGAAGGAGGAGGAGGAGGAGGAGGAGCAGGAGGAGAAGGAGGAGGAGCAGGGGCAGGAGCAGGAGAAGGAGGAGCAGGAGCAGGAGCAGGAGAAGGAGGAGAAGGAGGAGGAGAAGGAAGAGGAGGAGCAGAAGAAGGAGGAGAAGGAGGAGAAGGAGGAGGAGGAGGAGGAGCAGGAGGAGGGGCGGAAGCGGATCAGTTGATGGAGATCACGGGTTGAGGAAAACAAGGATGCCAGAGAGCCGACGGGAGAGCAACCCCGCCCGAACAGCAGAAAAGCGGAGCAAAACAGTTGATGCACTAGGACCAGTTGGTGAATCCCATGCCAGTCCATCAACTGGCGTGCCTGCGAGTTGATGTGCTCTGTGTCCATCAACTGGCTGCTGCGTCTCCTCGCTCGAAGCCTGGCCTTACCTCGGCTCAGCCAACGATGAGGTAAGGAGTGAGGGCTCAGTCACCAGGCAGGGAGGGTCCATGAGGTGGGGACTGCGGACGAACGCGTTGACAGTAACCCGCGCCCCAGGGCAATCGGCGCGCAAGGCGTCCTGGTTGTTCTCGGGGCAGGGTGATTCAGAGGCAGGTTCATGGACTTGGGCGCACGAACTCAGAGGTTGTTCTCGGGACCAGGCCCAGACCCGAGGAGGAGGAGGAGGAGAAGGAGGAGAAGGAGAAGGAGGAGGAGGAGCAGAAGCAGGAGCAGAAGGAGAAGGAGGAGGAGGAGAAGGAGGAGAAGGAGGAGCAGCAGGAGAAGGAGAAGGAGGAGAAGGAGGAGCAGGAGAAGGAGGAGCAGGAGAAGGAGAAGGAGGAGGAGGAGCAGGAGGAGAAGGAGGAGGAGCAGGAGGAGGAGGAGCAGGAGAAGGAGAAGGAGGAGCAGAAGAAGGAGGAGCAGGAGAAGGAGAAGGAGCAGGAGAAGGAGTAGGGAGGAGGGAGGGGGGAGGGGGCAGGAGGAGGAGGGAGGAGGAGGAGTCAGTTGATGGAGGTCCATCAACTGGCTGCTGCGCCCCCTCGGCCTGCACGAACGGCGGAGACCCAGACCCCACATTCCAGGCCTAGGCCTAGGCCCTGGGGTTTGGGGTCTGGGCCTGGGGGTCTGGGCCATGGGGTCTGGGCTCTGGGCCTGGGGCGTGGGGTCTGGGTCTCCGCCGTTCGTGTAGGCCGAGGCGGCGCAGCAGCCAGTTGATGGACCTCCATCCTTCTCCTCCTCCTCCTCCTCCTTCTCCTTCTCCTCCTCCTTCTCCTCCTCCTTCTCCTTCTTCTCCTCCTCCTCCTCCTCCTCCTCCTCCTCCCCGAGAGAGCCCAGAGAGAGCCCAGAGAGAGCCCAGAGAGAGCCCACAGAGAGCCCAGAGAGAGCCCAGAGAGAGCCCAGAGAGAGCCCAGAGAGAGCCCAGAGAGAGCCCAGAGAGAGCTCAGAGAGAGCCCAGAGAGAGCCCAGAGAGAGCCCAGAGAGAGCCCAGAGAGAGCCCAGAGAGAGCCCAGAGAGAGCCCAGAGAGAGCCCAGAGAGAGCCCAGAGAGAGCCCAGAGAGAGCCCAGAGAGAGCCCAGAGAGAGCCCAGAGAGAGCCCAGAGAGAGCCCAGAGAGAGCCCAGAGAGAGCCCAGAGAGAGCCCAGAGAGAGCCCAGAGAGAGCCCAGAGAGAGCCCAGAGAGAGCCCAGAGAGAGCCCAGAGAGAGCCCAGAGAGAGCCCAGAGAGAGCCCAGAGAGAGCCCAGAGAGAGCCCAGCCCAGAGAGCCCAGAGAGAGCCCAGAGAGAGCCCAGAGAGAGCCCAGAGAGAGCCCAGAGAGAGCCCAGAGAGAGAGCCCAGGAAGCGGATCAGTTGATGGAGATCACGGGTTGAGGAGAACAAGGATGCCAGAGAGCCGACGGGAGGGCAACCCCACCTGAAAAGCAGAAAAGCGCAGCAAAACAGTTGATGCACTGGAACGACCGCCCGTGTCTGTTGTCCGGCGCGGGCCTTCTAACAGTTGATGGACTTTACCATCAACTGAGCAACCTTTCAGGAACCCCACGGTTGATCAACCTCTAGTCCAATAGCCGCAAGTAATTATTTCAATTTTTTAAGACAATAAAGAAAAATGTGATACTAATATGAAGCAGGGTGATACTAATAGGAATACTAAGAAGAGTCATAATGCCGAGAATTAGAAGTATGAGATTAAGAAGACAAATAATTGCAATACCAATAAAAGAATAATCATCATAATAAGACGACGGATCAGAAGAAGAACGGGAGGAGGAGGAGGAGGAATAATCTAACAAGAACAAGTCGAATACTAGTGATATAAAAAATAGTTAAAACAACACAATAATACCACTAATACAATTAAGAATGATAATACAAATAGTTACAATAAGGAGAATCATAATAAGGAGAAGAAGGAGGAGGCGGAGCAGGAGGAGGAGGAGGGCGGCGGCGGGCTGCTGGTTGCGGCGCCAGCCGGGGCCCGCTGGACGGGCGGCCGCCGCGGGGGCGTCATCGTTGCCGGCCGCCGCCGCTGGCCGCCGCCACCGACTGCTGCCTGTCCGAGGCGGCGCGGGCGTCGTGGCGGGCGACGCGTGCGGCGCGGCGGGCGGCGCAGGCGGCACCGACACGCCCGCGGCGCCGGGGGCGAGCGGTGGCTCCTCGCGCATCCGGTGCCTGGACCGCGGCCGCCGCGTTCCCAGACCCCCTCGCGTCGTGAAGAAATCGCGACGGGCGGTTTTCAATTGTTTTCGGCACGGGTACCCCAGATTTCGTAATAAAGGGATGGGGGTTCTCATTTCGGGGGGGGTCTCTCCCAGGCTATCTTGGAGGGCCGGGGGGGTCTGGGGACGATGTTTTGGAGGGTGCTCCCACGGGGGGGGGGGTCTGAAATGGCCTGTCTTGGAGGGTCCAGACCCCCTCCCTTTTATGACGAAATCTGGAGTACCCTCGGACCGTGAAAAACCAACGTCTCAAGATGCAGAGCTGGTCCCGGCGAGTGGGTCGAGGCGTCCAGGGCTCAGCGTTGCGACAAAATCACGACGATGGGGGTCCGAGTTCAGGGCCCCTGTAAGGTCAGGGCAGTTTGCTGCAAGCCACGACTCCTTGTCAGATCCGGCTGACGTATGCGGAGAGCGAAGGAGGTATACCGACCAAGGGCTGCATTTTTCTTGGGTGCCGCTAACGTCCTCGCTTGTCGGAGTTTCCGATTGCCCGGCCTTTAGCCGTCGTCGTCTTTTTCACCGTCGCCGCCACCGCGTTCGAGGATCGAGGCTGCTCTCGCTCCTCTCCCCTCGTCGTCTTCCCCCTTATATACCTCGTCTCTCTCCTCTACCTGGTCTGCTGAGCTATGCTCTTTGCCCTCGCCTTCCCTTTCCTCATCTCCTGCCCTGCTTTTTTCCCCGTCCACATCGTTGCGGTGCATTGCTGCCTTAGTTACTAAACAGCTTGTCTCTCAGGGCTACACACATACAGAAATATTTCCCTGTTCCACACGTGTTTGAATCCTCGCCGTCGCCGTCGCTGCCGTCCATCTTCCGATGGCCACCTTCGCTCGAGTGTTATTCCCAGGGAATGAAGTTTTTTCATGCGCCTCTTCCTCGAGGCAGGGGCTGCGGGCGCGCGGGAATTGGCGCGGGCGGGCTTCCGCGCGGGGGCCTCTTGGGCGCTCCTGCCGGGCTGCCCGTCGGTCCCGCCCTGCCCGCCCACGCACGCCTGCCCGCCGGGCCCGCCCTGCCGCGGCGCCTGCGCGGGGCCGCAGGCGGGGCCTGGCGCGCCGGGCGGCCCGTCGGGCGGGCCCGCCTGCTTGGGGGCCGCGTCGCCCGAGGGCTAGTGCGGCGCGCTGATCGCGGCAGTGCGCGAGGCGGCCGCGGAGAGCGTCGGGCTGCCAGCGGTCCTGGGCCTGGTCCTGCTCGCGGGCGCGGTCGGCCTGCTGGGTGGCCTCCTGATCTCGCGGTGCGCCGACCGCCCATCTCAGCAAGATGGCGCTGGTAGCCAGGGCGTCGCGGTCGAGGCTGATCCTGGGTTGCAGGGTGCTGGTGCGCTACGCAGGGGACGACCTCCTGGCACGAGCGGACCCTTCTGTTCCCCGCGGCCTCTGAGGCCGGCCGTGTCGGCCCTCGGCACCTTGTGCTACGTCGTGCTGACCCCAGACGGGGACGTTTTCATTGAAGAGCTCGAGGGCGGGTCGCCGGACGACAGGCCTGTCGAGTGGGACGACATGCCGCGGGACTTGCGAGTTCCAGCAGGGTTCGGTCGTGTCTACCGATCCAGGACCGCGCCGACGCCCGACGAGATGAAACGGCTGTACCGCAGGGCGTACGCGGCGTCGATGGCCGACGCCGCGGCGACTGGCCTGCAGCTCGACGTGCCGCTGCAGATCCGCACCGCGGACGGTCACGACGTTGCGGTGACGGAGGCGCTGGGGCCTGATTTTTTCGGCGCGAGGCGCCTGAACCCCCCCCGCCTGTGCTGGGCCGCCGGCGCTGGCGCCCAGCCCCGCCCGTGATGGCGAGGGGCCTGGGCCCGAGGGCGACCGCCGCGGCCCGCCGCTGCCGCCGCCGGACGGCGCGGCGCCTGCCGAGGTGCCAGAGGACGGCGGCACAGCCACACCCTGTCCCGCCAGGGCGGTGTGGCGCGCGGCCGGGAGCGACGAGGGGGCCCGCATCGAGCTGGGCGACGAGCTGGGGGGCCCGGCGCAGTCGCTGTGCGGGAAGGGGGCTCCACCTGGCGGGCTTCGGGCGGGCGGTGCTCGTCCACCTTGCGCGGCTCGACAAGGAGAGTTCCGTGGCTTCCCTCAGCTCCGCTGGTGCACCAGCCGCGTCGGCAGTCCAGGGCGACGCTCGCGCGCTGCCCGTCAAGAACGGTGCCCGCGGTCGCGGGCACGAGTGGCGAGAGTTCGTGGACACGTGCGAGGAGGAGCCTCTCGGCGACTTCCGCATTGCTGGCCCTCGCTCGGCCGTCGTCTGGTGCCTGGACTTCTGGCGACGCCGCCGCATGCCGACGGACCATCACTTGATGTTCAAGACGATGTCCAAGCTCCAGTCGGAGCAATGGGGCGTCCAGTAGCATGTAGCATGAGCAGCTGATAGAGGATCTGGAGCTGGTCGATGAATACGGCCAGCTGGACCTGAGCAGCTGTGCCTTCGCAGAGGCGGTCTTCCGCCGCGCCCAGACGATCGAGTGGTGTACCATGATCGCTTCCGAGAGGCGGACTCGTGTAGCTCGAAGGACAAGATGAACCCTGAGGAGTTCTCTGCCTTCAGCGGGTTTAGCAAGACTAGCGACCTCCTCGTGGTCGCCCCCGTCCTCTTGGATTTCGTCAAGAACCAGGTGGAGAAACATGCGGCCATCATGCAGGATATCATGACGGCGAGGGAGGAACGCGAGCTCCGCCGCAAGGAACCCCAGGGGTATTCCGGTGGAGGTGGCAAATTATTGACCAACGGGGTGGAGGTGCGAGCGCGGCCACATCCGGCCCGAACATCGCGGCCACCAGTCCTGCATCGATACCTGGGCGAATTCAACCTTGCGCCCAGCTTGATCGTCGCGATTTTTGTCCTGCCATTTTTTCAAGAGGCCGGGCGCCTCCCGAAGGCGTGGTTTCTCGGGTCGTTCGACGACGCCTTCTCCTGCGGGGCGCCGTAGCGACCGAGTGCAATCGCATCGTCGGCGCCCTGAACGACCTGGCCGGGCGGCCTCGGGCGCGTGCCGCCCCTGGCCTAGCGGGTCGTCTTCCCCGCCGGTTGGTCCACGATCGAGTTCGTCGTGCCGCTGCTGAGCCGGGCCCTCCGCCCCCGACCTCGCCCCCGCCGGGGCCCTCCGGGAGCTCCGCGGCGCCGGCGCGCGCGAGGACATCGACTCGCCAGTTTTTGGCTACGGCGATTCCCTCGCGTCGCTGCCGGTGGCTGGCAACGTGCTGGTCCGCTGTGGCAGCCCTTTTGACTACGTGGGCGATGCTGCTGTCGTGGCTTCGATAAATGAGCAGCTTCTTCGAACTTAGGAGGTGGTGTCCAATCTGTCTTCTGCTCCCCGTCGGCCATTCATGGGCGCCGAGCTGAGGGGCAACCTGCTGCAAGCCTACCCCCGTCTGGTCAGGCGGCTTGCCGAGGCGGGGGTGGTGAGCTATGCGCGGGCTCTTCTTCGTTCGCAAGAGGTCTGGCAAGCAGCGGGTGGTGGCCGACTGCGGGAGGGCGAATTGTTGGTTCCAGCGGCTTGCATCGGCGGCGCGGGCCACGGGGCCGTGGTTGGGCGAGCTGGGCGTTCCCGAGGGCGCGGGCTCTATGTCGGCCACGTTGACATCTGCGACGCCTTTTAATTACCCATTTGGCCTGCCGTAGGCCTTCCGCGACTTCTTCGCGCCGCCCCCGGCGAAGGCCTGGATGGGGCGCGCGCTCCAGCCAGGGGCCCGTCTCTGGCCGGCGCCGGCCGCGCCCTCGATGGGCTGGCTCCGCGCCTTCTACTCGTGCCAGAC